TTAATACTTAAACTATTTTAATTAATCTCACATTCTTTCTAAATTTAATTCAATGTTCCAAATTCTTTATGCACTTAAATTCCAGAGAATTTCTTATCTTTTAGAGGAATTAAATTTTTATAGCACCTATTCACATATTTTCACCTTTACATTTCAAAACACATTTTAAGTATTTCAAATTAAAAAAACAAAGAATGAAAGAAAAGTTGTGAATGATTGTTATTCAAAAATTCATTATTCATAGAAAAATACTTAACAATTTTCTATTTGTTTTCATTTCCTATATTAAATGAGCAAAAAATTATTTTATCCTATAAGTATGCAATGCATTTACTTTATAACCTTTTCTCTTTTTCTCTCAGTTTAAAAATCGTAACTTTAACATTTCAAAAATATATAAAATAAAATTTCTAAATGAAGAATGTAATCCTTGTAATATCCTTGTTTTTTTTTTTGCAATATCAAAAGAAAATTTCCTTTCACATTATTGCTATTCTTTTGCTACAATTTTTTGCTTTTAACTTTTCACAATACAAACTTGCATGAAAAGAAATTCATATCGTGATAACTTGTAATAAATTCAATTTTTATTTAACAAAAAATAAAATAAAAGAAAAACAAAGACAATAAAAAATTTTATAGGAAGAGAAAACAAGAAAATATCAACATAGAAATTGTGTATGAAAACAAACACGAATTGTTGAGACAGCAAAAAGGGAAACATGCATAACACTCACATTCATATACTCACATTATTTGGTTAACAAACAGTTAACCAAATGTTGTTGCCCAAGTTAATACAAGTAAATTTAATAATTTGCATAAATATCTATTTTTTGTTGTCTTTTTATTTTTACCAAAAAAAAAAAATCCTTACAACTCTTTTTATAAGCATTCCATATGAACAGGACGATAAACGAATGAAAACAACAAATTAATCAACTTAACCGCTATCAGAGTAAAAGCCTTTACACAATACCAAATAAACAACCGAGGTTTATACTTAAACCTTATACTACATTTATACATTTTAACATTTCTGTAGATTTCCAACTGATGAGTTGGAAACAAAATTCGAATCATAAAAACGTATCCTATTATATGTATGCAATTTGTATAACAGTTAAACTATAAAAGTTTTTCTATATTTATATCGTTATAGGCATGTGTTAAATAAATATCCTAGAATGTTATTAACACGTAGGAAGGGTTTAAGGAATAACAGCAACAATAATCGTATACATAGAAATATGGATTAAAAATTTCCGTATTTGTGTATCGCTTGTTATACTTTTTTGAATAAATTACATTAATAGTTTTTTCTGCCTTGTTTTATCAAACATTATTTTCTATACATGCTATGAAAATTTTTCTATTTTTATGCAAAATTATAACAACACAAAAAAAGGACAATGTGGGTTATTTCATTACATATTTACGGGTATGCATAAAAATACACGGAAAAAAACGAGAAACGGTAGGGTTGACCGTTTCAACCTTGTGATAGCCCGTACGAATGAATGACTTTAAGTGTTGTATGTTAATAGCCACAGTGTTACACAGATACTCCTGGTTTTTTACATCTATAGTGCTTTTATACATATGCGGCAGCCACCGCAAGTAGTCGAGAAATTTGAACGATATTTATCACACATAGCAGCCCCAATAATTTATTTGCTGGTATACAAAATTTCGATATTATAGTTTCAATCATTTCTGAAATGTAAACCAAATAGTTTTTGAAGTTGTAGGGAAATTACCTTGATCACTGTCTCGATTATATTCAATTTAAATTCTGGCATTATAAATCATTTGTAAAAAATTTTGTGACCTTAGTTCATTTAGTTTTTGAATTGTCGTTGAGGCCAACGGCCACACAAGAATAAATCGACTCAGAATTCGATGCTGATCAAAAGCATACCCTTATGTCTATATCTCAGATCATTATTTCTTAGCGTTACAAACAGTAATGCAGATTTATTATACCCCTCGGACATGAACGTATGTCATCGGGTCAGTAATTGCTTTCTTTGAAATTATCAAGTACAACACAAATGCTTCTGTTAGATATCATTGTTTACTGCATTAACAATTGACTTTCTCGCAGTTTGCGAATAAAATCTTTACGGCTTCAAGCAGACTTACACAACATATTTTTATATTTTTGACCCTGCTTATCAAGTTACTATTTTCAAGTCATATCGTACCGCATTGAAAACCCTTTTAAAGTTCTAGCCGTAAATATATTGTATATTTTAATATATGAAGTTTATGATTAAAAAAAAAACTGAAATAGTTTTAAAATGCAAAACAAAATATTTATATACATACAAATGTTTGTATGTAAGTATATTTGAATTTTTAATGAACAGGAAATGTAGATTTACATAAGTTAGCAAATAACAATTGAGGTCTTTCTTGTACACATCCTTATAACAACATATATATACTTAATATTATAATAATACAATAGCAATGATGAAAAATATTGTGAAGGTGTCATTTTACTCACCATATTGTAAAATAATTGTGTCAATTAATAAAGATTGTAAAGAAACAATAATTGTAGAGTAGGATACAAAATAATCAATAAGCTTACAAATTTACATCTCTCACTCAATATAATAGAAAATAGAATAGAATGTGAATAAAAAATAACTCACTTTTCGCCATTATTTACTACATTTTTTTAAACCAGATTCAACAATATGTTGCGTACGACATGTTAAGCCTTAAAATGTGGGTATTTTTTCAATACTTAATTAATTAGAACTGTAATTAATATATTCGATCGCATAACCAAAACAAAAAAAAACACAACATCTTTAGAAAATTTCTAAAAATTTGATATTCTAGATTTGAAAACTAACAGCATTTTTTGCCTGAATACTAACAGTACTTGAGTCTTGAATATTTATAGAATATTTTTCAATTTTGTTAACAATATATGAAGTTTTCAATCTGCATTTGACAATTTGTACACAATTTTCATTGTTACCAAATATTAGCCATGATTAGGTTATTGGGTTTTGCCAAATTTCAAAATTGATTTTCATAGAATATGCAGAAATCTTCATACAACAAATTCAGACACTAGTTGCTAACTGCAATCATCTTCGCAAATCAGGCTGATCGCATAATACTTTAGATAAGTCTACATTATTAAATTACTTCATTGGCTCCATTCAAATTTTTTATGGATACCAATTATTTGTTGAAGCAAACTGTTTATTCAAATCACTTTGATTGAGGTCAATAGATAAACAGTTAGAATTTTCTTTTTTTTTTACAACATTTTCTTTTATTAAAATCACCTTGAGATTTTTTCTCTTTATATGAGAAAAAAGAATTGAAAAAAAAATATATAGTAAAACAATTTATTGTAAATAATTGGAGAGGAAGAGAAAGAGAAAGAGAGAAATTTACATAAACCTTTGACATTTTTACATTTTTGCCACAATTGTATTTAATTGCGTACTTTTCTCAGTCAGCTGGAATAATTATCAACTTGATTAAAACAAGGTGTTGTTCTACCAAAGAAAATTTTAATTAATTTTTGTGAATTTACTGCTCTAATTAATATGAAAATATCTTAGAAAAAATGAATATATAAAAATAGGATAAAATCTCATTATTGTTATTTAATTAACATCCTTTTTTCTTGCTACAGGGAATGTGAAATATATCAAGGATTTTAGTATTACCATATTATATTATTAACGTAGATTTAATCAAATATTGTATATTACGTATTTTCTTGAATTTTTCGAAATTATTTTCCAAATTTTGGACAATCAGTTTACAATTACAATATTAGAAGGCTAACGAATATTTTGTATCCTAGAAGAGGCGTAATAGTTAATTTTTCTTCTACTCAAAGTTCTGAATCCTTAAAACCAAATTAGTGGTTGAATTATAAAACTAAATAGCAATCCTTTCCACACAAAATTTATATTTAGCACAATACAGCAAGAATGTTATTCAATTCTCATCAATCATTACTGTGGTTTACACATCGTCCTTAAATTAAATATAAAAATTTTTTTAAGGTTAAATGCAAAATAACAAGAAAATAATTGTAAAAACTTTAATTTCGAAAGTAATGTATTTAAACTTTTCCAAATTGAATCCTGATGAAATGATTTCATTACGAACACCAACTTAATTTGTATTTTATTTTTATTTTTTTGCTTTACTTTTTATTTTCATTAAATGAACTTTTTAATTAAAATTGCAATAATAATGATTGAAAGTTATTTAATGAATGCTTTCTATTTAATATTTGCAATTAAAAATGGCAATTACAAAATTTTTATTAGAGTAAAAAAAAAATCACCCCCATAAGAGCACAATATTAAATAAATAAAATGTAACATCATAGTAAAATCAATAAAAATCATAAAGTTTTTTTTTTTTTTTGAAAATTTTATTACAAAAATAATAATTGTAAAAATTGTTTCAAAGACGAAAAAATGAAAGAATGAAAATTTCAAACATATTATTGAAAGTAATAAAATTTTTTTTATTGTTACAATATTCTAGAAGGTTGGGGGGAGATGAGATACTAGAAATTGAAAGTGAAATAAAAAAAAAGTAGTAAATGAAACATTCTAAGACGAATCCTGAGAGTCTTAAGAAAAAATACAAATTGAATTTTTAAAATTATTCACTAAAAGAGGTGTAACCGCACGTGTTTTCACTTTACAGTGCATTCGGCCGAATACAAAACTTGAACATCGAAAATAAAAAGAGTACATTTTCCAATGCTCAAGGCAAATACTGTTTAACATTCTTATAATCCTCCTAGCTCTTGTATTTTAATTTATTTAGAATTAGGAGACCTCGACTGAACACACTATTCCATATTTCTCATTCCATATTTTACAGTGAATTTTAACAGAAACTAATGATTAACAAATTTTTTTATTACTTTCTTTTATTATGCAAAATTTTTTGAAAAACTTGTAAGAAAGGTATTGCTTTCGTATTGAAAATTTTTTTTATTCAAATTTTATTGTATCTTTTTTATCTTCTGGCCTATCACATGTCCCACATTCTTTTATATATGGAGGTATTTTTTCACTCTCTGATCCATAAGGAAATTGTGCTGTCACTTTAGAATAAAAAATTCCTTTTATATCTTTTTGAACAGCATATCCCATAATATAACGCTCTGTAGTATTACAGAGACCAATTCGTAATTCGAAAATTGAATGACATTTTACTGCTAAAAAATCATTTTCATGACCTGGATAAACTGATTCTGCATAATATTCATGTGCACGATTATGTGAACAAGATATTGTTAAACATCCTGATTTTAATGGCAATAAACCATCAGGATAGTAATCAACATCACCAATTTCTTTTTCTATTCCAAGAACTCCAGGATTTGTATGAATTACATCAACAAATTCAGCATCTCCTTTCTCAATTGGCATTAATTTTTGTCCCATATGAAAACATGGTTTAGCTGGATCTAATCCTGTTATTCTTGGTAATAATCTACCAGTCATATTTTGAAAAAATTTACCGGTATATCCAGCTATATTCGCACCTAAACTATGCCCTAAAATATTATAAATAAAATGCTTTTGTCAGAATTATTTGATTTTTTAAAAAGTAAAAATTGTATACGTATAACTTACCAATTAAGTGGATATTTTCAAGTGGAACAATTTTCTCAAGTTTAACTATACTTTGGGCAAGATATTTTCCAATATCACGGGCATTTAATGCAGACAAAGCATAAAAAGTAGTAGTATAATTAGAAGCATCAAGACCCTGTTAAAATTTTTAAGTTACTTAATTTACAATTTTTATAGTCTACTAATCAAAAGTAAGTAGCAAAGCAGTTTTTCTCATTATATTGAATTTGTTTTTTTTTTGTATAGAAAAATTATACGCAACTGCACTGCGTTATAAAGTATATGTGCAGACATATTTTGTGTTTAAAAAACACTTTGATAAAAAATTTATCTCGATAGTTTTTTGCAAGTTTTGACGGACGTACATTGTTGCAAGTTCAAAAATATAACACACTGTTTACTAATATACTCACTATAACATTTACTCCACCTCGACATAAATAAGCTTTACTAATTTCATAAATCATATTACTGTTATCGATAGTATTTGTCCATCCGGCAATAAGAATAACAACTGGTTTTGATCGATCGAAATGTGGGCTTCTATAAATTTCGTCTGATTTCAAAATTGGAAAAGAATAATTTTGGCATTTTGTGAACATTCGTAAAGTTAAGTTATTTACTTGCGGTATTAACATATATTGAACAGCGTCTATATAATTGGCATACGTACCTGCATAATCAAATAATAATTTTCTTTATTTATAAAAATTTTTAATCTTTCAAATTTCAAAACTTACAAATGAAATCTATATAGTCGAATAGAATTTTATATGGATAACCGATATACCAATTTTTTATATATTGAAAAACTTCCGGTGGTGTTAGAAGATCCATTCCTATTTCTTCAAGTATAGTATTTGTTGTATTGTCTGCAAAAAAACCAGGTACAGCTTGTGCGTTAGCAAATGAAAGCAAAAATCCAGTAAGACCAAGCAAAATAAAAGTTTTTAAAATATTAAGTTTCATCTTCGTAATGGAGATATAAATGCACTAATTATAAATTATTCACCACACACTTTTTCTTAATTGTCTCGATTTGATTGACAATCTTTAGTAAAATTCACTATTAAATAAAATTTAACGCGAGAGTGATTAAATCCTTTTATTGTTTAAATGAAATGAATTTTCTTTTCAACAAATTTTCTTTGCCACGTCTTTTGTAAAATAGAAGTATGCCTCTAATGAAAAGTTTATTAAAGCATGGAAACTTTAAAGCTATTTTCGTCTTAAAATTTAAATTTAAAAAAAAAATTATAACTAAAAGTGGTTACAAGGCCTTTGTCTTTTTACAATTGGCACAATTAAAATTTAATTGCCTAATTTGAAACACAATTCTTATGTTATGGTTGTTTAGATTAAGTTTTAAATTAATTTTTTGTTCCATTTTACAATATTATAAAAAAGATTATTACGTGTACACATAAATTAAACCAAACTAAACTCAAATAATGAATGAAATCGAAAAACTAAGTTACTTTTTCCAAATTTATAATCTAACTTAGTGATCTTTTATTAAAAATTGATAAATAAGCAAATTTTAGCACATTATTCACTAGTACGACTCCTCTTGTCAACCTTGTAAAACTGAGTTTTTGTTAATATGAATTTGGTATGTTTTATTCAAATGAACGTTTCCAAATTCACGCATTTTTTTTATCAAGGATGAGCCTTTAATGCTGACTAAAATTCTTTAACCTCCGTTATTAACTTCAAATGTATGTTTTAAGTTGCATGACAATTGAAAGTTTTAAATTTTTTTAGCTTAGCTTTTCCTACTTGAAAACCTGCATGAGTATGTTAAAATAACTTCTTTATTTCATTTCATATTTTCACTCCAAATATTCACTCCATATTTTTATTTTTGTTTTCCACTAATCTGACGTCAAATTTCAATTAGTAAGGCACTTAAACGTTATATTGTGGCATGACATAATATCATAATATGTTAAAATTATTCTAATCACTCATCTAATTTGAACAAAATTCCTTTCGTTAATCGCCATTTCATAATGAAAAGTTCAGAACTCAAAATTATTAATGATTTCCGTGTAGATGCGCTTTTAATCTCGGTATTACACAAAATTCCGTCATATTATTGCTTAACATTTTAAAGAAAAATTCAAAGCAGCAATTTTAAATGAATAATAATTTTTTACACACATGATAAAATTTGATTTTAGTTTCTACTCTTACTTAAAGTTTCAACATGCGATTACAAACATTACGTTAATTATTGCTAAAATAGCATTAAAATTTTATTACCTAATTATAATTACAATATCGTTCAATAGAAAAAACTAAACACAGTACCTGCCAAGGAATTTTATTAAAAACAACTATTTTAATTGTTATGAAATTTTGAGGTAATTTCGAATTTCTTATCAAATTTGTTTTCGGTAATAAAATGTTGATATTTTTCTCCAAATTAAATTGAGCTTATTACTCAATTATCAAGGACGCAAACCATGTGTAAAAACAGAAAAAAATAAATATTTTTGTTCGAAGTTGATTAAATTTTTTGGAAACATTTAAATTTTTCGCACAACTGTCATTTGCGTTGCTGTTACAGAGTAGCAATTTCTAATATAATTTGCATATTCAGTTTGTTTGCTATCGATAGATAAAGTAAATTGACGAAGGAAGCTGTAGATATGCAATAGTGCGTTTCACATGAAAACTGAATTAGATATTGTATGTTGAAAAATTACTGTTAATAATAAAGTAGTACTGCTGGTAACTAGAATTTCGACTAGAATTTTCAGCAATTAACTTTGCAGTAATTTCTCCTGAATTTATTTAGAAAAAACGTTAATAAATTTTTCCATGAATATTATAAATTTTCTACATAGTTAATTAATCAAAAAAGTTGTTTAAGAAATTTTTTCTAATGAAATTTTTATTTATTTACATGATTCTACAAAACTTTAAAGAATTATATCCAGTTTAAAATTTAACTAATGGTTTTTTTGCTTCTTCACTATGACACAATCCACATTGTGTCACATCTGGTTTTTCATGGTTATCAGGTAAACCAAATGGAAATACACCATCAGGATCAGAGAAATAACTTCCTTTTAATTTTGTTGAAACACCATAACCCATAGTATGTGGTCTACCGGTACAAAATCCACGTTTTAAATTAGCTAATGAATTACAACGAACCGCCATTAAGTTGTTTTCATAGCCTGGATAAACAGTTTCAGCATAATATTCAAATGCCCGACTATGTGAACATACAATTGAAAAGCATCCCTTTCTTAATGGACCAGTGCCACCTGGATAAAAATCAACATCTCCGACAGGTACTCTTTTACCAAGTACTCCCGAATTACTGTGAATTACATCGATAAATTCAGCATCACCTCTTTCAATACCACTTAATTTTTCTCCTTCATTAAAACATGGTCTAGCCGGATCCAATGCTGTAATTCTTGGTAATAGTCTATCTGTAGTACTTGTAAAATATTTACCAGCATAACCGGCAATATTGGCACCCAAGCTATGACCTTTAAAATATGAAACATTTTATTAATATAAAGGTATTTATACTGGTAGTAAAAATTAGAACCTACCAATCAAATGAATGTTTTCTAGAGGAACAACTTTTTCAAGTTCTACTAGTCCTGAAGCAAGAATTTTTCCAATTTCGTCTACATTCAATGCGGACCATGTATATAAAGTGTTGACATATTGGCCAGCATCAAGAGCCTAATAAAATATATTATCCAAATTTAATGTTTAAAGTAATACAAAATATTTATTGGATTTATTGACAAATTTCTTAAAATTCTAATATTTTAATGAAATGATGTTCTAAAATCAAAGGGCCTTTAAACTAAGCCTACAAATTAGTAAAATTGTCGTCCATCGGCTCACAAATTTCCAATGGGTTATAAAAATTGATTATTATGCAACTCATAAAAGTACTCACTACAACATTAACTCCACCTCGACACAAGTATGCTTTCCCAATTTCATATATTGTGGAGCTTTCGTTAATAGTATTTGTCCATCCAGATATAATGACAACAACTTTTTTTGATGGATCAAAATGTGGGCTTTTCCACATTTCACTTGCTTTCAATATTGGAAAAGTGTAATTCTGGCATTCTGTTATTAACCGTAAAGTCATACTGTTGACATCAGGTGTCACTTGCGATTGCACCGCTTCAATTGCATTAACACCAGAACCTATGCAATAAAACGATGCATAAAATTACTTTTTTTTTTTTTTAAATTTAATCAAAATTTTACTTACAAACTTTATTTATTAACTCTGAAGCTATTTCAAAAGGATATCCAGCAATTACATCTTTACCAAGTGTCCAAACTTCACTAACAGATGGAATATATTTTGGTACTTTTTTAAGAATACCACCAGTAACATTTGTAGCTGTATCGAAAACACCACGCAAACTATATAATTGAGGATATGAAAATGAAAGTCCAATTAGTCCAATAAATACAAAGAACTTGAAAATGTTTAGCCTCATCTTTGATACTGAAACTTAGAAACAAAATTCTAAATTCAATTACAAAAAATCATGTAAATAATTTCTTTTTATGTTTAAATTAGCTACGCAAATTATTTACGCGGAGCATGCAGAAAATTTAGAATAACAATTAAATTTAGATTTTATTTACTTTAAGTTTTAAAAAATTTAAAATAAGTAAATGTGTTGTGGTAGTTTTTCAGTTTGGTGCTTACTTGTATCAGTGCCATTTTGCCATTTCTGGATAAATAAGAAACACACGGACGAGTTGAAAATTCATTTATTTATTAAGGGCTCTAACAATTAGATACCTTCGTTCAGAAAATAAGGTGCATTTTATTTATAGGAAAATATTCAATCGACTCAATAATACAATAGACAACGTATAGTGTAGACTACCTTATAAATCTAAGCACTCTTTATACGTCGATACTTATTAGAATTTGACTAAGAAATGATTTAAAATAAACTTTTAACAACAACAAATTTAAGTAACAACAAATTCAAAATAATATTTCAACTTCCGCTCCTTCCTATTAAAAAAATTGTCAAGGTCATTGTAGTACGTAAGTACCTAACAAAAACCATATAAAATTTTTTTTGACAAGATTTATTCTTCTTATTTTTCTGTTGATTATATAATTTATGCATTCTTCTTTATGACTTCAGTGACAAATCTACTGACTTAATATACTCACTGCTCCTCAATTAAGATACTCGTATATGTACTCACTTTAATTAAAAATATCAGCAAAGAATATTCCCTCTACTCTCCATTGTTTCACAATAAGTTCTGACCTCATATAATATACAAAAAAGAAACAACAACAAATTATAAAAGAAAAAATTAATATTCCGAGCACATTTCCCTTTTAAGGAGAATTCAAATAATAATAAAAAAAAAAAGAAAACAACAAAAACAAAGCCAGAGAGCTTTGATCAACCAGAATGACCGTTGTATAAAATGCAATAAAAATTGTTTTTGTGTATACCTTGTTTAGCGGGATGATGATGATAAATGCTATGCTATAATGCTATGTGACAAATCTCAATTTCAACTTGAATTTTAATTACATTATCGCTTCTTCATTTCTTACTCAATTCATATTTTGTGAGATTACATACTCTACCTATCCTCCCTCTTTCATCTTCATGTATAATTTGTAATTTTATAATTTAAGAGCTTCATAAATAAAAAGAGAAAATAGATAATTTATTTAAAGGAAAGCTATATACGTAGTAGACGAGAGAATTTTAAAGAATTTGTATATGAAGGTAATTAGCATTGTAATTCATATATCTATTTGAATTTGAATTAAAATATGGAAATGAATTAAAATTCAGAAAAAAAATATTATTCGATTTAATTTAAATCTTATAAAAATTAACTTTGAGTTAACATTGTCGAAAGCTTTTCAATTTTATAAATAACTCTCTTCAATTGAACTTTAAATTATTCTCAATTTTAATTAAATTTTCAATTTAATCACATTGTTTTCTCAAAAAATCACTAAAATTTTCAAGTAGCTTGTAATTAGCTACTGGAATTACTTAAACTATTTTAATTTTTTGAAATATGTATACAAACAAAAAACCGGTTTTCATCTGTAATTTTCTATGTATGAACACAAATTCTGTAAAATATTTAGCTTGAAACTTAGAAATCGCATATCAAGAATATCCCATACTTGCAACTAGTATTTTTTTTTTTTTTATAAAATTCCGGAAATAAGTTGAGGAAATAAAAAATTTTTAAATGAAATTTTGCTTGTTTGTTAAATTTGTGTTTTTGTAAAATTCAGTGCAACTATTATTTTATATAACATTTAATTCATAAGGAAGTGTGAAATGCCGAATTATACTCTACCGGATACCGAGTATCTCATTCAGTTTTTGGGAATCACATTGCAAACAAGTTATTTATTCTGATTTTTTGATACCATGAGACCATAATAGTCTTAAACTTGATTCAATGAAGTTTCGTAATTGCTCATATAAATAAAATTAATTTTCGGACTTCTTAAAATGCGTACGTTACACATAAATTACACATACGAGTAATAGGTATGGCGTTACAATATGTGTGTTTTACATGCGTGTGACGGAGTGTATACCCATACTCATGACAACAGAATTTTGTTTTCAAACAATTTAAACTTTGTTTTTTTTTTTTTTTAATTATTACTTGTTATTTACGTTATATGGCTGTGACCATTCATTTGGCTCACAATCAAGTAAAAGGTCAACTATTTTTTATATCAGTCATTTAAACTTTTAAATTTATTCCATTTTGTCAACTATTTCACATATTGTAACCATTGTTTTTATGATTTTCACGGCATTTTTTCCATAATTAAATCTATGGGCTCCGTTCGCACTAAATTTAATTTTTAACTAAATTTTGAAAAGAAAAACACTCTCAATTCACAGTCTGTTTTAATTTAATTTCATTGTTTATCAAAATGAAATATTTTTTTTTAATTCAATTATAATGAACTCATAATTTTATGGATTAAAACAAATATTCACTATAAAGATTAATTGAAATTCCAGAAATAAATAAATTGAAATTATTCAGATTTTTTATTTTTAATTAAACGCAAATTGAATTTTAAAAAACACTGCTAAATTTTTTTCCGTTCTACTTTTATTCAAGACAAGTTCAACTATTCTTGAAAACAAAAAATAATAATAAATAAAAAAATTAAATTAAACTAGTTGGATACACTAAAAATTCACTCACTTTTAAATTTTGCTCGTATATTAATTTAAAAGTATATTATGCCAGTACAAAGTTAAAGAACACTTTAAAAGTTGAAAGTTTTATTACCTTTTTATATATAAAAAACTAATGTAAAATTTTCTGTATTATTTTATATTTGTACCGCACACGTGTTACACCTGTCTTAAATTGAGATGTTGTTTTATTTGTTTTATAATATGTACATATTTTTTCTTGATTCGGATATAAAATGAAGCAAAGTTATAACAAAAGCCTAATGTTTTATAATATTAACTATACTAGTTGCAAATGGCAGTAAGAAAGCGAAGCAAAAATAAAAATTCTCGTCAAATATTTTTATATGTTTAGAAAAACAAAAACAACAATAACAAAATATAATTAATTGTACGTAATTATAATTATTTAATAAGAAAATTTATTTATATGAAATACAAAGTAAAAAGCTCTTGCTGCTTCAAAATAGAATAAAACTTATATAATATGAGAATGACAATTAACAACAAAATATGCACGTTCTCGCTCATATACAAAATGTAAATTAAATACAAATTTGTTTTTCTAAATTATTGGAGCTTAGGTATGACCATGTTTAGAAAATTTATACTGCTTTTATTCGGCATCTTTATTTAAGAAAATGAATATTTAATCTTAACTTGATTTTAATCAAGCAATCTTTAAAAAGTTCGTGCAACTAATTTGAAATTTATTGTCCACTGGATCTCCGTTTCCACTTCTCTTGATAGTGTAAAATAAGCTATAATTTATCACTAGCTAGTATACGGCACGATCCAGTTGAGACAATTTCTGAACTTTCATTTTTTAGTATTTTGACTTTGATATTAATTGATTTTTCAGTAAAAGAGCAGTGTAATCAAAGAACTATGTATTTTTGCACCTTCAATACAGAACCTAGCTTGCATTCGAAACAAACTTTAGAAATATTATTAGAACACTTACAGTTTGTAACGTAGCAGTATTTACTTTTTATTTCGAAGACAGTTTCTGCCTGTTTTATATTGTTTATTACCAACTATAAACTAACAACTAGAATTGTGGAATTTTCACTTGTTCAAACAAATCAAACAAATCGAACAGATCAAGGAGAAAATGCTATCCATATAACAATATAAAAAAAATTAAAAAAGTATGAAATTATGCAATCTTAAATAAATGTACAATATAAAAAGATTAACACGAATTTCATTTTCAATCTAGAATACTTCAGTATTTCATGTGCTTGGAACAATAACCCGTTGTTCATATATGCATGCGGTTAGATGCGAATATAACGAGAATTTATTGAAGAAAATAATTTTTTTGACATGCAATTTAAAACATCAAGCACGCAACTTGAAATTTTCTAATATTTATAACTGCCTAACTCAATATGTACAAGTACTCAAAGTGCAAGATGTGACAAAAATTATTTATAAAATTTTAAGTCTCTTCGATTTACTATTATCATTAATATAATTTAATTTTTATGTTACACTAGAACTGATAAGAATTTGGTTAACAAGCGCACAGACGGCAGGACAGAGTAAAGCCATAAGACAAATTTTTTTTTTTCAATTTGTTTCGAAATTTGCAAGAATCATAAAATCAAAAACATTTGAATTCAGTTACAAATAACTACCTTCTAGATGTCATTTCTCATTTATCAAAACTTTCTGTTTAAATTTCATTTTAAAGAAAAGCTGTGCAAATTTGTCACACTATTTATTTGTTTACATTATTTTTAACATTACATGCAATAGTTGCAAATCATATGTGACAATCAAGATATCAAAGCTTTAATTTTTACCTGTTATGCTTTTTTTTATTAATTCTTTTGTATGCACAATGAAAAATAGTAAAGCTCTTTAATTCATATTCGATGAAAATAAAATAATTTATTCTAAATGTGCTTCATTAATGATTTAGTTCTGCATTCCATTCAACATATTTTATAACATTTTCTAAATTTTTAAGTATTTATAACGTTACCGTTAAAACGTTAAAATTACTCATATACCACCGTTATTCATAAATTAACGGTAAGTTTAATATTTCTGTGGCAACCAATTTATTCATAATACAGAATTTTTCAAGAATGATTCTTATGATGCAATGTTGCCTATATTAAAGGATACAATGGAATGTTTTCTCAATTACCTCTCCACAAATTCCACATATGGCTTGCGCCAAATTTTGTGTTTTTCATATTTTTCTAAGTTATGACGTCATATTGGCCAAAAGCTTTTTATAATATAGAAGAGATTTGGAGCTTTATTTTCAAATTTTGTTTCTGAAAAAGCTTGTTGTATTAGATAAAAGGTTGTTGTATTAGATGAATTTATGAATTTTGCTTTATTTTTCAAATAAAAAGTATTTGTATTTTAAGCTTTTATTATCGCATCCTTAAAGGACTTTTAGAATTTTTCCTAATAATAGGACACATATTGTATTGCATAAAACTTTGTTATGTATTGGAAATCATTGAATAAATGGGAACACATTATAATAGACTCTCTATAGATCGAAATCACAAACAAGGTAGCCACTTTCATCTCTTTATATTTGCAGAGGTAGTGTCTAATATCAAGAAAACTAAATACGAGGTTTTTGTTTCAAGATACGATGGAAATGATTAATCGAATACACACATAAATTTATCTTCAAATTTTATTACCGTCTTAAGACATTCCATTCGTCTCTTTCGTCATTAAGTAATTACATCACTTCAAATTGTATTTCATTAGGGCACAATTACTACCAATTTTAAATTTAAAAGTTAATGAAGAACCTTAAATAATATGTATAACAAAAAGACAATACCATATATTCTCATTAAAATCAACCCACTTACATAAAACTAAAAAAAATTTATAGCAACACAAATTTTTTTCCATAATTTTAAAATTATAGCAAGTATAACACTTTTTAGATATGAAAATAGTTTAGAAATACACAAGGGTACATAACATTAATGCAATATATAAAGTATATAATGGGCATAATGAATATAGAATAAAATATAAATTTCAATTTTATGTACTGTGGCGACTTGAATATTTTCTCAAAATTAAATAGCAAAATAAACAAAAATCAATTTCAATTCTACAATTAAAATGATTTTAAAATATTTTAGAATTATTTGAAATTTTTAATATTTTTTTTTTTTGGCATAATTCTTGTACACACACTTCATTCATTTTTTCTAAATCTTCAATATTTTCAACTGAAATTTTTTATATAATATTTATAAGTCAGATAATTTCTTCTAATAAAAACGAATCTTTTACTATCATACCATCTCAATGACATCATTAAAGCACAATAATAAATATAAATTCAAATTATGTACTCGTAGTTGCAATAATAGAAGAACCTCCTCCTGCCATACCTCCTTTCCAGAACACAAAAAAAAAGTTTTTGACATTTTCCAAATTTTTATTTATTTTCAATTGAAAATAATATCTATATATACTTACATAAATTCATAATGCACTCATGTGTGTATGTATGTAAGTGTGACATGCACATTCACAT